TATTAGTTCACCAGTTTTATGCTAGCTTGGGTGACGAATTATTATATCCAGGCTTCTGGCCAAAATTGTGGAATAGTATTGGCCGAAATTAAGCGATTCATACTGCATCTTACTGCATTATAGTCACATGATAACGTTTTGATACCAGAACACCCTCACATGGTTGCTTCCCTCTCAAGTGCCATTTCTTGATTGCCGGATGAGGCATGAAATGCCAAATTTGCAATCCATCTATTTGCTAAAGATGTGTTGCAATCTATTCACCTACTTTTTGATTGCCAGTGAGGCACATGTGAAGTGTTAATATTGTGCCATTCTTGCAATTCCACCTTTTATAGCTTGTTTAATTGCCAGGGATGAGGTATGAAGTGCCGAATTGGTTCAGGCTTCACAGCTTTCATACTCTTTTTTCTTGTATTCTCCTGAACCTTTCTGCCTTTCTGACCTCTTTTCTGCCTATCGTCAGTAGCCTCCAAAAGCAGAATTTCTTATTTCTATATATAATTCTACCTTTGGAGGCCACCAAATCTATATCCTGCTTTGCGCTCCTGCTTTTCTAGAACTCTTTCTCATATAGTTGCTACTTCTGGGATACCCCTATACCTGATTACTTTGGGTTATTATTGTGTCGATTACTTTTGGGTATTACTACTAATCCAGTGTTTTTCCAGCAAGCGTATTCGCTCAAAATTACTATTTTGAAGATTTGGTATTTTCTATATAATTTTATATTAACTTCCTCCATATACCTATCATGCTACTTGCACCTGCGCAAAAAAATTTCGAATCCAATCTTGAAGAGATATATGAAGCAATAAGACTCTTTTCAGGTGTAGCAGACCTTGATTTTGAGCTGGGTTATAATGATCATACATATTTTCAACATTTATTGGTATCTAATACTAGAGAGAATGTGGCATTTTGGAAGCCTATCATCCTGAAGAAATTGTTTCCAAATATATTGTTCGGGTGGCAGGATTAGGCATTATACTAATCGATCACCCATCTGAGGTTTATGGGATTTCTGATGTTCATGAATGTATTGACGGGAACTTGCCTCTTCACCTGGTTTTGATATTGATGCGAGGCAGAAGCCCGATCTCACGAATCCTAAACTTCCCTCTTTAGATAAATATAAAATTTCTCATAATGATTTATTATCCAGAATCTTAATTGCCTGCGCTGATATTTTATACTCTGATTTAAAACATCTCATAACTTTAAATGCTTTCACTTTAGCTAGTTCATCTAATGATGATAAATGCAATTGGCATATTATATGTTCTGATGCCTACTTTATTGACTATAGATATCTCAGAGATTTTGTAAAAAAAGTCACAGATAGGGTTGGAAAACCATATTCTGAATTTATCGATCTCATGCTTTACAAATCACATTTTAGTCTTCGACTTCTTGGATCAGCAAAGGGAAATAGAATGAAAAGACCTGCAATTTCTTCAATTAAGAAAGGATATCGCAATCTAGAGGATTATTTGGTTCAACCCAAATTTTATTGTTCTGAAATCTGACCACAGACCTTTTCTTCTGAGAAGCTGGAAAAGGAGGAGATATTCCAGCATATCGAAGATGAAACTGCTTTAAGTAAAGGAGCTAACTTAGTTATTACAAAATATGAATGGCTTGAGGTTGGTAACATTAGAAAGGGTTTCGTCAACTTTCAAGCCCAATCATTAAAAGCATGCCCCATTTGCAATATTAGTCACGAAAAAGATCAGTTGTATGGATTTCTTCGAAATAATGGGTACTTCATACTTAAATGCTACCGGCAAAAACAATATAAACCAGATCATAAGGGATTAGCATTTAGGGAAGCATCAGGTATAATCAAGCTAAAAGAAAGACCTAAATGGTGATTGAATGATAGATTAATTAATGTTGTAAAAAATCCACGTTTACTTCCTGAATTGTCTGGAAAAAATATCAATATGAAAGAGATGGAAGAGGTTCCAGAAGCTTATCTAGACTTCTTAAGTTCTGTATGTAATACAACTCTTATTCGTTCACCTGTAGGTACTGGTAAAACAAAAGCCTTAATAGAAATTCTCAAATCTTTAGCTGGGAATAGAGAAGATTTACCTTGTTTTGGCTGGATTTCATATCGCAAAACTCTTAGCAATGAGACTAAAGCTAAAGTTAGAATATTACAGAGTTTGGGACTTCGCATATGTCAATATCAAGAAGTTGAAGGTAGTTTAGCTATAAGTGATTGGGATGTTATTATTGTTCAGGTTGAAAGCACACATCGTATTGAGCTTCACAGAAGGCGTCTATATGTAATTATTTTAGATGAAGTCAATGCGATTATGCGCCAAATGTCCAGTGGAACTCATGCACGAGAATCTGAAAATGCTTTGCGAGATTTGTTAAAGTCAGCTATTCATGTTATTGTTATGGATGCTTTTGCAAATGACGCAACTATAGCTTTCTTAAAACAATATCGAAATAATGATATATGAATTTTCGATAATAAATATCAACCACATATAGGTGAAACTGTTAAGGTTCTTTATGATCCAGACAAAGGTTCAGAGGCTATGAGAAGAGGTCTTAAGATACTTCGAGAAGGTAAGTGTGTTGCTTTTGCAATAACATCATGTAAAAAGTCCGGGCTTTAGCAAACCAAGCTTTTGCATTGCAAAAACCAGATGGTTCACTTATTTTAACTCGTGTTTATTTTGGCCAAATGGATGAAATGCAATGATAAGAGGATTTTACTAATATTAATGCTACCTGGAGTTCTCTTGACTATGTAATTTACACCAGTACTGTAGAAGCTGGTATCCCTTTGAAATTCCTAATCATTTTGACGCTATTATAGGGATTAGTAATATTAAAACAGGAGTATATGTCGAAGCTTTTACACAGATGCTTTACCGAATTCAGGATTGTCCACAATGCATAATTTTTTTATATAATAGTAAAAAGTCCTTTGAAATATTCCAAGAGCCAAATCATAATCTAATTCGTGTAGGACTTTTTGCTTTAAGACCTATTGATTTACCGACAGCAGTAAAAGGACATCGGGAATGGGATAAAATTGCTGATTGTTATGCTCTTGATGCATCTTTAGCAGTTGAAACATATATTGAGGCTGAATATCAGAGACGCTTATCAGCTAAGTACTTTCCCGAAATTCTCTGCAGTCTTGTTTCTAGTACAGGAGCTTCACTTGAGATTATTTCTGCAGAAGGTACCATAGCTAATAGGAAAATAGTTTTTAATATTATTAAGGCAATTGAAGAAAATATCAAAGGTTCTGATGCAAAATTAATAGCCAATGCACCTGATATCACTTCAGATGATGCTGAAATTCTTAAACAAATTTTTACACGATCATTCAATGATAATATGATATTGCAACGACATTATTTGTGAAGAATATATGCTTCAGAAGATATTGGAGGTAAGGATGATCATCAGGACTGGAATATGGATGATGCTAAATGGATTAATCTCTGTAATACTAATTTTGTAAAAAAATTTAATAATTCTGAACCTTTATGACATTTTAGAAGACTGGCTTATTTCCGAAAGTAAGGTTCAGATGCAATAATCAGCTATAAAAGCAATTAATGCAATCGCTGGAAATTGGTGTGGCTATACAGTTAAAAGTAATCGGAAAAGAATAGGTCTCAAGGAACAACGGGTTTGGGAATATTCATACAAAATTAATTGCCAGTCATATAACGGTACTGGTTTTGGAGATAAAGGTGCTTCAGAACTTCCACCATATAAGCTAAAAACAGATAACGAGATTCAGGAACTCTTTGATTCTATAGGGTAGGAAAAATAG